CAGGTTATGTCAATTGTTGATATTTACATTAGACATTTGCATTGAGAATATTCGGATCAAATAAAATCGAATTGAATGTTGTCGCAATAAAAATACTTACGTCAAAATGATCCTCGCAACAATAATAATTCGTTTTTCTTGATGGTTCATCGTCACGTTGCGCAAGCAGAAACCAATTCATTTTAATTTCTTCTTTTTGCGGTACGGAAAAATTTTTCCGGGAATTGCAATTGTTGTAGATTTACATTGCGGCACAAAACACGTTTTATACTTGTTATTTCGATTCATTTTTAACAAATTAACCTGGCTTTTACGTGGTTATCGAGTGACAGGAGCGTTCTGTTTATACCAATGTGACGTCATAAATGCCTTCGGGCAAACTCGGGTTTTTCCGGACCGTTTTCGGTAGTCAATATCGTTTTTATTTAATTGTGGCCTTAATTCGCATAAAAAACTTATGAAAAAAAAAATTGGTTATATAAATCAGGCACAATCTATCAAATAATATTTTTTAAAAAAATGATGCAAACCCCTTATTAATTTGTAAAATAAAACTGTTATCGGATTAAAGTGTATCAATGGACAGAAGTTTGCAAAATAAACCAGTGTCAATTAGTTATTAACAAATGTGACTTAATTATTGAAACATTTAATCCAAACTCTGAAAGAAAGTATAAGAGGAAATTGCATACGGCTCGACAGTGGAAATTGATTGGCGAGGCATCTATAGTGACTAGATCGCATCTTAGGTGATTGGCGGTGCTTATGTATTCGACAAAGCATCCAGAAACACACTCCCGGATTGGCGACACTCCTGAGCAAAGTCCAAGCGGTGTTCTGGTATTCTAGTGATCGCATTATCAAGGTAAAAGAAGGCGACCAATGAGGAAAAGATAACACAGCCACACACAAAAAAATGTTCTGGCCTAGGGGTCAGACCATGTTTACTATATGTTTTTGGGGTCGCTAAAACCGAATCCGAAATCCATTTAACCCTATTACATCAGGTTTTGGACATAACCTCAGAAAACCTATAATTCAAGCCTAATTAGCCAGTTATGCCAAATATATTAAACCAATTAACTCTATAACCCCTTAATTCTTAAACCCCATAATCCCTTAACCTTAAATTTCAATAACATTATAACTCTCATAGCATAACCTATCATGGCCCAGCATTTCTACAAGACTCATCTCGCACAAGATCAGTCATTTTCGACTTGAAGACCAGTGTATTGAACTATTTTGTATCATCCCAACAAAATAAATGATTTACAGCGAGGATATTTCCACACATGTTGTTGTTTATTTTCCCGAGCTACCTCCATATCCAGAGTAATGTCTTATCTGTGTCTGCATCCAGGGCACCTCCACGCGGTGACGGTGGGCAACAGAGCAATTCCGTTATCCGGCTGAGTCCCTGGATCACGGCGTATTTGATGGTCCACAAATCAGAACTATGTTTAGAGATACTACTTTTGTTAGTACAATGAATCGATTGGAAAAAGAAACCTGGCTTAGTTTCAAAGCAGTGGCCCAGAACTTTTTGGAAAATACAATAAATTCTGAATATAAACAAATTGTTGCAAAAATGATTACAGGCTTTCAAACGCTTGGATGTCTAATAAATTTAAAATTACATTTTTTGCACTCTCACCTTGAAAAATTTCCTGACAATCTTGGAGACTTTAGCAAAGAGCAGGGCAAACGATTTTACCAGGATATCAATGTGATGGAAACTCGTTACCAAGGAAAATGGGACGAAAATATGATGGCAGATTTCTGATGGATGCTAAAGAGAAACACACAGAAAAATGCTAGAAAGCGCAAACGGAACCCATTGCACAGATTTTTTGATAAAAAAAGAACCCGTTATAATTCGAAAAAAGANAATGACTAAAATTTTATATATCTGTGGGAAATATTTTAAATAAAATGTAACTTTCCGGAACTTGATAGTAAAATAAAATCAAANTATATTTAATATTCTTACAATATATGAAAAATTCACGGCTACAAGGTATTNTGCGAATTCGCTTTTCTCGAGACGATCGACTCACTTTCTGATCTGCTTCGTCTAACGGCTCGCTTGATAACGACTGTCTATCTGCTCCTATCACAGGCTGTCTCGCGTCAAGATAACAATTCTAAAACTCCGCCCTCGTCAAGAATCGCAAACATCGATCACCGACGACTTTCCGAACAATCGCTCGCATTCAAAATCATAAACAAAATATCGCGCTCAATGCCATGCGGCCCGTCAGCATCCTACATTCGGCCGTCCTGACAAATCATTCGTCCCAAATGACTTCCTCGGCCTCGTCAGCTTCTTCCTCCGCAAATTCATTTGTCTCGTCCTCAATTCCGGTCACCCACATTTTCATGGAGTCGGCAGCAGTACGCGTGGTTTTCGGGCCTTCACCAGTACCCACTTTATGCACGACGTACTGCTCGTGGCCAAGTGCCTTAACCACCTTATATGGTCCAAAATACTTCAAGGCCAACTTCAGTCCTGGGCCTAGCTGGGTTCTTCTAATAGCCACTAAGTCTCCTATTTGCAGAGATGCCTTCGTCTCTTCCTATCGAATTGACGCTTATTTTTGGCTTGGATTTGAGCAATCTTCTCAGCAGCCTGAGCCCGAACTTTATTCCGCTCTTCATCGAACTCCTGAATTATCTCCTGCTGGAGTGCATCGGCAATTCCAACGTTGTCTCTAAATCTCGGAAAGACGCCGAAAAAAACCCGAAAAGGCGAATCACCAATACTCCGGTGCAAAACCGAGTTGATGCACCTCTGCACCGGGTCAACGTATTTATACCATTCAGTAAGTTTTGGTGCATCTAGCTTAGTGAGCAAAGGTACGACAGTCCTGTTCACCCTTTCAACTTGGCCATTTGATCGCGACATTCCAGTCGTCGTCAAAATATGCTGCACACCCTCTTCTTCGCAGTATTGTCGAAACTCGTTACTCGTGAAAGCTGCTCCTCGATCCGATATCAATCTCCTTGGATTTCCAAACGTTGTCGCTTGCATTCGTAGCCTATTAACAACTTCGGCCGTTCCGGTAGTTCTGACGGGGTAGAGCCACACGAACTTTGTAAAGGCGTCGACCACCACGAATAAATGTTTGTATCTTTTTGCAGTTGACTCTAACGGCCCAAGGTGGTCTACATGGTAAGTATCCAAAGGAACACTTCCTTTGTCTATTACATGCAGCCAACCTTCTTGTTTTCCCTGTTTCCTCTCGGCCAAGATACATGAAACGCAGCCTCTCAGGACTTTCTCCACCTTAGATTTCAGGTTCGCGATCCAATAATCGCGTCTGACGGCGGCCTCAGTCTTGGCTGCCGAGAAATGTCCATGGTCATGCACTCTTCGGATCACCTGCAACTGCATCGACTTCGGCACCACCAGGCGTGTGTCCCCCTCGTCAACCTTGTATATTAATTCTCTGCAGACCACATATCCGTCCAGCTTGCCTGCCTCTATGCTCTCCCGCAGCTTCTCTATCCACGGGTCATCTCGCTGTGCCCGCCGGAGCCTCGCCAACAATCCGTCATGTTGTTCGTCCAGCACCATGCAGTCGGGAACCGGATTTCGGCTGAGGGCGTCCACGTGAAGCATATTCTTTCCTGGGCGATGCTCGATTTTGTAATCAAATTCTTCCAGCCGCAGAGCCCAACGAGCCACCTTGACGCTCAAATCTCTTTTCTTCATTGTCATGGCGAAAGCCTGGCAATCCGTCAGAATCCTAAAAGATGTTCCGAGTAAATATACCCAAAATCTTCCAAGAGCCTTTACCACTGCCAAGACCTCCAGCTCATAGCTGCAATACTTTTCTTCCAAAGCACTCGCTCTCTTACTCCAATAATAGATCGGATGCAGCTTCTGATCTTCCCTGCACCGCTGCAACAGTATGGCACCGAAGCCACACTTTGATGCGTCAG